AGGGTAAACTTCTGAGGATGTCTATGGTGGATTATCTGATTAGACAAACTGATGTAGGGAGACTCACATTAACTGTAGGTGGGATCACTCCTTGAGCAGAGATCATGGACTGTATAAAACGGAAACAATGCTAACTCTTACTGCTTTCTGTTTCTTCAGTATGGATATGGTGTGATCAGCTGCCTCAAGCACTTGACTCTGTGGCTTCCTCTCCAAGATGAACTGTGAGGCAAAACAAATCCTTTGCCCTTAAGTTGCTTTTGTCAGGGTATTTTGTGTGTGTGTGTGTGTGTGTGTGTGTGTGTGTGTGTGTGTGTGTGTGTGTGTGTGTGTGTTTGAGACAGGGTTTCTCTGTGTAACAGCCGTGGCTGTCCTAGAACTCACTCTGTCGACCAGGCTGGCCTCGAACTCACAGAGATCCATGTACCTCTGCCTCCTGAGTGCTGGGATTAAAGGTGGCACTACCATACCTGGCCCTGTCAGGGTATTTTTAATCACAGCACCAGGAGAAGTAATTAAGACAGTATTAGAATTTTGATGGAGATTTTATTAAATCTACAGATAGATTCCTTACTGTAGTATATTCCTTTTATAAATTCAGAACTTCTGCATTTATTACTCATTTCTGTTTTTTTTTTATTTTTTTATTATTTTTTTTTGTTTTTCGAGACAGGGTTTCTCTGTGTAGCTTTGTGCCTGTCCTGGAACTCACTTGGTAGCCCAGGCTGGCCTCGTACTCACAGAGATCCGCCTGGCTCTGCCTCCCGAGTGCTGGGATTAAAGGCGTGCACCACCACCGCCTGGCTCATTTCTGTTATTTTAACATGTATTTGTTTGTTTGTTTGGTGTGTGTGTGTGTGTAGGTCAGAAGATAAATTCCAGGTGACCACCTCATTGGTTCCAGTTACTTGGATCTAGTTAAACTTTTTATTTTTCATTTAACTGTTTTTATATGTATGGGTGTTTTGCCTGCATGTGTGTCTGTGTGTACTATGCATGCCTTGTGCTCACCAAAGTCAGAAGAGGGCAGTGAAATCCTTGGAACTGAATTACAGACAGCTGTGAAATGCTATGTGGGTGCTGGGAATTGAACTCATCAGCAAGTGCTCTTAACTGCTGAGCCATCTCTCCAGTCTCTCTACATAGTTTTTAAATTCAGTCAGCCTGTCTGTGTTTGTTTGTTGGTTTTTTTTTTTAAATTGGTGACTTGAGACCTTTACATTGAAGGTTATTGTTGAGAGGTGCTTATTAATTTTAATGTTAGTTGATCTGGTGGATTGAATTATTGTTGTCATTCTCTTTATTACTTATTGGTATTGGAAGGTTTTCCATTTTGGACATGTGGTATCCCTTCATAGCTGTCCTTTGTTCTTCGATCTCTCTCATGAAATTTGTCTTTTCTTGTGTTCTTGTGCATGAGACTCTTTCTACCTCTTCTGTATGTAGTTTTCCTTTAAGAGTCTATTGCAGTGTTGGCTTGGTGAATATGAATTGGTTTTGTTTGAGCTTGTCTTGAAACGCCCTAATTTATCTATCAATTTTGCAAGACAGCTTTGCTAGGTGTAGCAATCTTGGTTGGCAGCCATTCACTTTCAGGGCTTGGAATATAACCTTTCATGTTTTCCATTCTTTAGGTTGTTAATGAGAAATCTCCTGTTAATTTGGTATGCCCATTTTCGTAGGTGAGTAGATGATTTTCTGTCACAGCTTTTTGTATAGTTTGCTTTGTATTTTTGACAGCTTGGTTATAACATATTGTGAGGAGGTTCTTTTTTGTGTTCATATGTCCATTCCTTTCCCTAGATTTGGGATATTTTCAACTAAAATTTCATTGAATACATTCTCTATACCTTTGGCATGTATCTCAATACTTCCTTTTATCCTGTAAATTCTCATGGTTGTATTCCAGAATTCTCGGATGTTGTGGTCATGCTCATTTTTTTCTCTTTTTTGGTATTTGCATGTGTTTAGTATTTTCTTGACCTTCTCTTCCATTTCTAACATCCCTCACCCCTACAGTCCATTGTGCTTTTCATTTGGAAGGTTTCTATTTTTTCCCCCGTAAATCTCAATTTGCTTACTAACATTCAATTTTCATACTAACATTGCTGATATTCTCCTTCATTTTGAATGTTGCTGACTTTTCTCTCCAGGGGTGAGGTTGAAGTCACCTGCTTGGTGTATCATCTTTGAGGTCATTGATCATTCTATTAACAAACTTGAGAAGTTTTTAGCTGATAGCTGGCCTATTTTAGTATTCAGTCGTTGAGGAGTTATTATCTTTTTGAAGAACCACACAGCCCAGCTTTTTCATGTTTCTTGTGTTTCTGTGTGGTAATTTGCTCATCTTGGCTTGGTATCTTTCCCATTGTTTTAAAATTTATTTACTTATTTATTTATTGACAGACTCTCACTAGGTTTCCCTGGTTGTCCTAGAACTATCTCTATAGACCAGGCTGGCCTTGAACTCTCAAAGATTTTCTTTCCCTAACTCCTGAGTGCTGGGATTAAAAGGATACACCACCACCATTCCCTGTCTAAGCTTCCAATTTGCTAATACTTAAAAAAAGGTTTATTTTATATGCATGAGTGTTTGCCTTCATGTATGTACATGTCCTGTGGTGACTGAGGAGGCCAGAAGAGGACATTAGATGCCCTGGAGCCGTACTTGTAGATGGTTGTGAACTGCCATGTGGGTTCTGGGAGCAGAACTTAGGTTTTCTGCAAGAGCAGTCAGAGCTTTTAACTGATGAACCATTTCTCTAGCCTCCTAGCTTCTAATTTCTATATACTGTGTTGATGTGGTAGTGAGTGTGTACAGAGGCCAGAAAACTGGAAAGGACCCATTTCGGAGGGAACAAAAGTGGCTTTAAGTATTGGGGGATGGGTAGGTGGTAAGCATGGGGGTAGGTGGTAGAAGCATGGGGGTAGGTGTAGAAGCAGGGTCGGGGGGTAGGTGGTAGAAGCATGGGGTAGTAGAACACGTCTGATACGAAACTGAAGGAAGTCATACTGGGGTGGGAAGGATTAAGTAAGGATGAGGGGTGAGGTCAAGAAGAAAGGGGTATGGAGACAGAGAGTCAATCCAAACCAGGGATACATGAAAAATCCTTAAGGAAACTTGTTATTTTGTAAACCAATTAAGAACAATAAAATCAGGGTTTGGGGAGGTGGCTTAGTGGGTAAAGCACCTGCCATATGAGCATGAGGACCCGACTTTGAATCCCCAGCACCCAAGTAAAAGCTGGATGTGGTGGCATGCATCAATAATCCCGGCCACTGGTATGTTTACGTGTGAGAAGCCCTGGAGATGGTTGGCCAGACAGCCAGTAGGAGCGATAGGCTCCAGGTTCAGTGATAAACTCAGTCTCAAAAAGAAGACAGAGACCAACTGAGGAAGATACCGACTTTCTGGATTCCGTACACACACACACACACACACACACACACACACACACACACACACACACACGTATGTGTACATGCACATATACACGTACCCACACAGACATGTGAAGGCTGTAGGCTTGTTATACAGGCATGGCTCCTTATCCCTTTTCACCAGCCACCTGTTTTGCTTAGGGCGGTTTCTAAAATTTGGCTGAGTACTGTTGTGACTCCTATGAATTGTGATTCTTGCGGACCCCAGGACAGGACTGAAAATAGGGGTTTGTAAATAATGTTTAAATTTGGGCAACTCTTTTCATAGCCTAGTATATCAAAATAATTTAGTACTTCTGGTGATATGACAGCTTGAAATAAAAGACCTTGTGAGACACTTGCAGAGCAAATGGCAAGAAACGAGGAAAGCAAAACAATTTTGCACAACTTAGAGAAAAAATATGCACAATACTTAAAAAATAGGAAGATATATGTAAAGGAGGGTGAGAAAAGAAATTAGAAGAGGAAAGTACTAAAATTATTTGCTTATTTAAAATTTTACTTATTTATATATATATGTGTGCATGTATGTTTGTGAGATGTATGTATCTATGGCTGGGCTCATTGCCACGGAGTAGTGTGGTCTGTCAGGAGATAAATTACAGGAGTCTGTTCTGGCCTTCCACCATTCTGCTTTTGGGGTTTGAAATGAGAAAACGCCTTTTATCTGCTGATATCTATCTTTTATATGGCCATTTGACAGCCATAAAATTGTGTACTTTAAATTTTAGCCTACTTCCATCTCTTTCTCCTTCATTCTCTCTCTTAGACATCTCCCTTTGTAGTTCGGACTGTTTCAGTTCAACGTCAGCCTCCCGAGTGCTGGGTTCACAAGGCCTGCAGCCAGTCTTCTTTGAACTTTTTTTTTTTTTCCTTCCGTGATAGGGTTTCGAATTCGCTCTGTAGACTAACCAGGCCGGCCTGGACTCACAGAGATCCTGCCTCTGTCTCCCCAGTGCTCAGATTAAAGGCATTCGCCACCACTGCCCAGCTTTCTTTAAATTCTTAAGTCTACAAACTATCCTTAATGCAATATCAAGCACACTGCTTGATGCACGCCCAAGAATTGATACTGTTTCCTAAGTTTTAAAGGAATTGGAGCCTAATTTAAGAAGGCAAAGTCTTAGTCACATCTCTCACAAGAAAGGCAAGATTCAGAGTTTCTGTTTTTAATCCTGATCTGATTGGATGTCTTTGATTTACTGACATTTTCTAATTAAGTTCAGCCAATTTTCAAAGTCTTCTCATAGAAATAATTCCGCTGCCTAGATCACCCTGTGGCGCCATCTTCCGGGGTCTAGAGTAGACTCTAGATGTAAAACTATGGTCTGTCTTGATTCTCCAAGTTCCAGAGTTTTGGGAGGCTCCTTAGACGCATGCGCAACCTAGCTTGGAAGAAACTACAACTCCCAGAAAGCAATGCCACGGGGGTTGGGGGTGGGGGGAAAGTCCCCTTGTCATGGGGGAAATGAGTCTCGCGAGAAAGTGAGGTTCTGGCGGCTGTGCGTCCCGGGTGGAGGGGGGCGGGGAGAGTAAGGAGGAAGAGGAGGAGGTGCAGTCCCACAATACCCGGCGGAGGGCGGGTGGGTGGTTAGTGTCTGGGCTGTGCGGCGCTCCGGTCCCCGGCGGACCCTGCTGCCTCTGTTTCTTGAACGCGAGAGGAAGCGATGCGGAGGGGTGGAAAATGGCAGAGCTGCAGATGTTACTAGAGGAGGAGATCCCGTCTGGCAAGAGGGCGCTGATAGAGAGTTACCAGAACCTGACCCGGGTGGCGGACTACTGTGAAAACAACTACATACAGGTGAGGAGCGCGGGCGGCCGGCGGGGGCGGCCGGGGCGACGGGCAGGCTGGGCGCGGTGGGAGCTGCCCTCCTCCGCCACCCTCCGCCCCGGCCCGAGCGGCCGCCGCGATACAGGAAGTGGCCGCCGCGAGAAAATGGGCGAGGAGCAGGGCCGCCGCTGGCGCCGCCGGCCCCGACGCCGCTTCCAGTATGCCCAGCCGGGCGTGCTCCCGGCAGCTTGCCCCGGCCCCGCCGTGCTCACCGCAGCCTGCCCCGGCCCCGCCGTGCTCACCGCAGCTTGCCCCGGCCCGGCTGTGCTCATCGCAGTCTGCCCCGGCCCCGCCGTGCTCACTGCAGCTTGCCCCGGCCCGGCTGTGCTCACCGCAGCCTGCCCCGGCCCCGCCGTGCTCACTGCAGCTTGCCCCGGCCCGGCTGTGCTCATCGCAGTCTGCCCGGACCGCCGATCCCCAAAGCCTTCCCTGGCGGAGCTCTGCTTCCCGCAGTCTGCCCAGCCCAACTGTGCTCCCCATCGCCTACCCTAGCTGGGGTCTGCGCCTAGACCCCGCAACTTTCCCTGCCCGGGCTCTATTTCCTGCAGCTTCCCTTGGCCGGGTCGTACTCCCCGCAACCTCTCCTAGCGGAGTCGTGCGCCCCACGGCCTCTCCTGTCCCGGTCGTGCTCCCTGCAGTCTCCCCTGCCCGGGCTCTGCTATCCGCAGTCTCCCTCTTGGCCGGGCTCTACTCCACGCTGCCTCTTTTGGCCAAGGTTCGTCCCAAGACCCCTCAGCCTCCCCTGGCCAGGGTCGGTCCGGAGACCCCCACAGCCACTCTTCCCCTGTCCGAGGTCCCGGAGATCCCGCATTCTCCCTTGGTTGCCTTGGTCCCCCACAACTCTCTGTCGCCCCTCTGCCGAATGTGATGACTCTAGTACCGAGACAGCTGCAGGAGGAATGGGCAGGGAAGAGGTGCTGGGAAAGGAAAAGCGGGATGTGTGTCGTTAGAGGGTGGGGTAGGGGTGATTATGTCAATTCATGCTAGAGGGTGTGCCTTTTATTTATTTAAAAAAAATGTCACGAGTCACATTTATACAGACCTCCCAATCAGGTGCAGGGAGTGACTACTGAGGGTTTGATAGATTTCATCTAAAAAAATCTTTTAATTGAAGGTTTGGAAATCGCATGCTTGACGGTTTTCAAGTCGGGTTTTTCCTCCTCATCATATTTACTTCCGCTTTAGGATAATGTATACTCGTTATTATAAAGTACGAATGATTCATAGGGGAATTCATTGGGAAAATGTCTTAAATACTTATCTTCCTCCAAGTGTTCTTGGATTGTTGCCTTTGAACTCAGTAGTGTCATAGTGGTTGCTTAGTTTCTGAGATTTCTTTCTAACCCGTTAATGTATAGGAGAATATGAATAAAATAGATTAGCAAACATTATTTAGTCTTTAAATCGCAATGGGAAATTACTTATTTATCAAGAAGTTTTTGGCATTTTGACTATGACAGATGCATGCTTGTGTTTCTTAGTGATTGTAAGTGAATTGTATGCAGTAGTTTGGTTTGTGTATCGTGATTGTGTAAAAACTAACAGTTTGCACTAGGTGCAAATAAAGTAGTAGATTTCTTTGTATCAGATAAGGAGTATAGAAATTCACTTCTGGTTGATAAGGCATGACCAGAGCGGTCTTTGAGAAGTAGGGTTAGAGTACTTCAGACTTGCAGTGTGGAAACGTGCCTTCAACGTGATTATCATTTTCAGGAGCCAATGGTTTCTGTGCTAGCAGATGCTTTAGGCTTTATTTGCAGAGGAAGATACTGTTTTCAGACTTGTTTGAATATTTGTCAGTTTCCATATTTGTAACATTCAATCTGGAGCAGTACTCCAAGGAATTTGTCTTCATATTTTCTTTTCCAACCTTTGACTTTGGTGATCTGCTGATACACTTGTTGAATGCCTGCTATGCCTACTGTATTACTTGTTTTTGAAAACTATTTATAGCTGATTAAAAACACATTTTAAGGGGTTGAAAGAATGGCTCAGTGGTTAAGAGCAGTTGATGCTTTTGCAGAGGACCTGGGTTCAATTCCCAGCACCCTCACAGTGATTCAAAACTATCCTTAACTCCAGTTCCGGGGATCCATGCCCTCTTCTGACCCCTGGGGACACCAAACACACACCTGGTATACATACATACATGCAGACAAACACTCAAAAATAAAATGAGTAAGTCTAATAAACTCATTAAACACATTTTAAAATTACAGAAATGCGGATATAGTGTAAAAATAGAAAAGTGATCTTGTATTTTATATACTAAAAAAATGTACAACTTTTATTTATTTTAGCATGAAAAGTCTTGAAATTGCTGCATTTTTGGTTTCCTGCACTTGTATCATGCAGCATATGACAGCCTGTAACTCCAGCACCAGGGGACCCAACACCCTGTCTGGACTACATGGGGGCCTGCACCCATAAGTGTGTAGACAGACCCACAGTTAAAACACAATTAAGCACAACCCACTTTAATGGTAATAGCCCTGATTAAGATAAGTAGCTGTGTTATTTCTTTTTCTTTGCTTTGTGTGTGTTTGTTTGCAGATAGAACCTCATTCTAGCCCAGGCTGGTGGAACTCTTGGTCCTCCTGTTTGGCCTCTGGGTGCTATGATTAGAAGTGTAGCTAGCATACCCAGCTGTGAAAAAAAAAATGATGTTTTTTGAGGGGACAGGGTCTCATTAGGTAGCCAAGCCAAGGCTGGTCTGGAGCTTGTTGTTATGTAGACCGGGCTGGATGACAGAGATCCCCTCCCCTGTCTCATCTCCTGGGATTAAATATGCACTACCATGCCTGGTGAGGAAAATTACTATACCTGCTGTGAGGCATTAGTTGCTCTGTGAGTTTTATCATGGCACTTATTCTGTTGTTTTCTTATGTTTTGAGAATTCAGGCCTGTTCTGCTGAGAAGTTGGGTGAGTTCTTGCGGTGCTTTGTGCGCTGCGAGTTTAGTTCTTACATTGAGTCATTAAAAGCCAAATTTATTAAAAGATTTCTTCAGCTGTCTTAAAAAGGATGGAGTTTAAAAGTTAGGAGGAGGGACTGGAGAAATGGCTCAGCAGTCAAGAGTGCACATTACTCTTCACTGAGGACCAGCCCAGAGTTCAGATCTCAGCACCCTCATGCAGCTCAAAAATGCCTGTAACTCTAGCTTCAAGGGATTCCATGCCCCCTTCTGGCATCTTTGTGCACATGCTTACTTATGCACACACACAAGTCTTTTAAAAAATGTTATAGGGAGGCTGAACATGGTGGTGCACACCTTTAATCCCAGCACTTGGGAGGCAGAGGCAGGTGGATTTCTGTGAGTTTGAGGCCAGCCTGGTCTATAGAGCGAGTTTCAGGGGAGCCAGGACTGTTACACAGAAAAACCCTGTCTCGAAAAACCAAAACCAACCAACCAAACAAAATATTAAAATTATAAGATATTTATAAATTGGTATTTAGAAAAGCCTTTGCTGTTTCTGTTTGATGTAAGATTGCTTTTTTTTTTTTTCCTGGTAGATTAACTCTAGAACCATTGATCCTTGAGCACAGCCAGTTACTTTAGAGTTGTTAGTGTCTTGCTACAGGGCCTATCTTGGGGAACTAGGAAGGAAGGAAAGCTAAGTGAACAGTAGAAACTAAAGAAAGGTTGCTTAGGATGAAGATTGTACTGGCTCAGATAAGGATAGAGAGGTCTTTTGAGAAGTTAGGGTTAGGGTACTTCAGACCTGCAGTGTGGAAACGTGCCTCCCATGTGATTATCATTTTCAAGAGCCAATGGTTTCTGTGCTAGCATTCCAAGGAATTTGTCTAAATATTTTCTTTTCCAGCCTTTGCCTTTGGTGATCCTAGAACTTCACTTCTTAATTTTTCTGCCTGAAATTTTACCAACTTCATTTGGATTGGCAAATTTTTTTTAAAAAGTATTTTTATTGTTTTCAATTATGTGTGTGTTTCTTTCTCTGCATGTGTGTTTGTGCGCATGCGTCACCAGAAGCACTTTTACCTGCTTAGCCATCATGCTGACCCTAAATTCTTCCATTTTCCTACACAACAGTTTTTAGGAAATAGTGACAAGAAAGTCTGTATTGCTATGGAGAGTCCTTTAAAAAAGAGTTTGGCTCAGCAGGAAGGTTAATACATGGTTGTTGAAACACACAGATAAAGAGGACCAGTCCTAATTGATCCTGTTTATTGAGTGCCTGCTCTGTTAAAATCTCTTCTACTTTGTATTTACTCCTCATCAAGTGTCTGTCATAGGGAGTGCCCTCGTACAGATGAGGGATTTAAGACTCAGAGAAGTGAAATAAATCTTGCTTGGCTGTACAGTTAATGACTCGCAGATTCCTCAGCTGTGACAGACTCCTCGGGTGGAGTAGTTTGCATATCACAGTTCTTACAAGAATCTAGACCTCAGACTAGTTCAGGAGTGTTACCGGAGTACGTAGACCTGTTGGACAGGTCTGGGAGCCTCACAGTTCCAGCACCATTCCTAAAATACATTCTAAGTTGTAAGATGCAATCAGAAGAGCAGGGAAGTTTGTGCTTTGGAGATTTGCCAGTAAGGCTCATGCTAGCTCTTCCCTCAGCAGGTAAGAGTGCAGCCTGCTCTTCAGAGGACCCAAGTTGATCCCAGCACCCTTATCAGGAGGCTCACAATCCCCTGTAACTCTAGCTTCAGGGAGATCTAATGTCTCTGGCTTGTGTAGGCACCTGCAGTCATGTGCATATGCTCAACACATAGGCACATATGCATACATGTGATTTAAAACAATAAAAATAAATCTTAGCTGCATATGGTGGTGCACACCTTAATCCCAGCACTCGGGAGGTAGAGGCAGGCAGATCTCATGAGTTTGAGTCCAGCCTGGTCTACAGAGCAAGTTCCAGGCCAGCCATGACTACATAGTGAGATCCTGTCTCAATGTGTATGTGTGTGTAGTACTCCAACCAAGACTTCTCAGATATTCTCAAATT